TGTACAAACTTTGTAAGACTTTAACTCCCATTCAAGTGAACACTGTCTGGAGTAAGACTCATTACCATGGTAACCAGGAGAGGTTACCATGGACTTTCAGTCATTTATGTTTTTCTTTTTACTGAGACCAAGCTGCTGTCATTTATTGTCAAAATACATCAGAGCAATGGATAATCTCAATCTGTCAGGAAGCAAACTATCCTATTACTCAAACAGCCAAACCCCCCCCCCCCCCGCAAAAAACATACAAAGAAGCAGTTGTTATAAAAATCAAAAAACCTCAAACGTGGCCAAAATTCTGCTACGCCTAATAAAGATGCCACATATTCACAGAATCTGACAAAACACAGAGCATTCTTTTGTAAAAGTTAAAGCATCCATTCTAGAAAACCCTGTTTTGGGTGTTTTGGTTTTGGCAGCTCACTTCTGAGTCCAAGGTGATAGTTTTTGTTACCTCCTGTCATGAAGATACATCATAAAAAGACTTGGGTCTAACTTTAGGCCCTGCTGCAGTTTTCGTGTTTGCCTGTCTCTCAGCTGACATCTGAACCTCTTGAGAAATGTCTGTGTGTGACCACGGCTCTCTCCAGTCTACAAGGCAGTCTACAAGGCATCAAAGATAGCTGCAAATGTCTTATAGATGGGTGAGAATATCTGGGGGCAAAGGAATGTAACATGTCAAAAATAGATACACAGACAGAGTGACTTATTCCTGGAGAATAAGCCCACACCCCATCTCTAGTAATCCCTCATCTTTTTCCCCCCACACTTTAATCAGTTACGGGAAAAGGTCCTTTTGCTTATCACAACTGTCTCAAGTCTGATATATTCATCTTCCAATTGAATTGTTCCTTACTCACTGCTCAATCTGAGCCTCACTGTCATTTCATGTTGACTCTAAGTTGCTTTTATGGTCTTTAGAGTCCGTTTCCTTTCTGTGGCCGGGGGGAAAGCCACCATATTCTTTGAGCAGTCAAACAGCCCGACTTGTATCTAGACAACAACAGGGAGAAACATCCAGTCTTCAGTATGTTCTCCATCTTCATGTTTGAGGAAGGTGCTGTTCTGTAAATACTGGGCTCTATCTGTGGGCTGATTTCCTGGTGGTCACACTACCAATCTAACCCGTCTCCCTCCAGTCGCACCTAATGAAAAGTAATCTCATCTTGTATCTAATCATTAGCCATCAGCAACAGAGTAACGCCTTGCTTTATATACAGACCAAACGGTGAAAGAATTTCATTTAGTTTAAAAAAGAAATTAAGTCCAGCACAGCTTTGATCAGAATATATTTGTTGAATTCATTACTGTGCATGTTAGTCTTTGGACAGGAGTAATAATCCACTTCTGAATTTAACTTTTCTCATCCACAGATTTTCTCTTGTTTTTTTCCCTACTATCAACAATCCCAGTGTAAAGGTAACAGACTGTGTGAAACATACAGTATTTGCTATGTAACTGTATATTCCACTGATAAAATGTTTAACAGCTGTGTGTGCAAAAAAAAAAAAAAAAGTCGGACAGCTTGATGTTAGAGACTGGGCTTCTTACCAATGTAAACCACTCTTGAAATGTCACCAGTTTTTTTTTTCCAACCTCAGCCAACAAAAACCATTCATGACATCACAGCCTCAGAATCCTAAAGCTGACCCAAAATGATTGTTTTGCAAAACAACATAAAAATTTAGTTTTTTTTAAATGATTTTTAAAAATGCTGTTGTCCAGGAAATGTCCAGGATGCTCGGTACAAAAAGAAAAAATATAATCAGAATTCACAAAAAAAGACAAAATACCTAGATGTTGATTAACAGTCATTAACAGTGGGAATTACATTCATAATTTCCTTTTTTGGCTGCTGTCAATTGTGTTTTTAAAAACTAAACTTGTTACATTTACAGTGGCCAGTTGTGGGAATTTTTTTTTAATTTTGTGTTGAGATGAGAGCTCTTTCTTTTTGAGCGGGGATGAACCCAATTTTCAAAATGCCAAAAATGCAACGTAAACATGAAAAAGATATATAATGAATATTTGCATGTAAAGTTCACCTAAAATAAGAGTGCTGGCTCATCTCTCCAATTTGCATCCGTCACATCAAGCATTAGACTGAATGAGATGCGTTTGTGCGGTTTGGTAGTTTTAGTCCGCAGTGTTTTAGGGTGGTTTTCTTGACTAAGTTGTGTACTCATACTTTTGCTTTTGATGTGGGTGTATTGGTTAGACTTCATTTTGGTCTTTGCAAATGATCTTTTTCTATCCCTAAGACGTGCAGGATTGGTTTTGAATCCGTATGTGAGCGTTGACTGATGGTCTGCTCTGACAACAGCATGAGCATGTGCAACTCAAAAATAAAAACAAAAAACAGACCAACTGATAAGTGAGTAGAACCCAGATTTTTGGAAAAACAACACTGATTGATTTGTCTTTCAACTTCCATTCAACTACTTTTCCTATACTATCAATCACCTTTTGCAGAGCTTGGAAACCAGCTTTCCGTTGTATTCGCACGGAAATTTGGGTGAAACCTGTGGCAGGAGAAAACCCAGCAAGCATCTGGTTAGTTAAGAGCTCCTTTGTTGCTGCGGAAAGGTAATTGTCGTTATGTTATAATGATCATACTGCCAGTCGTTTCTTTGCGTAGAAACAAGAGAAAATTCCCTAAAAGATTTGAAGTTCTGAAGTTACTCACTGATGCTTATCCAGATGCAGGTTATCAAGCAAAGAGCACAGATCTCACAGCCGAATGCCTAATGTATCAGACTCCCAAAAGTTTTGGTCTTTGAAGTTGTCAGATTTCTTTTTCAACAGTTCCATTAACATGTTGCTCGTAGCGCGGGGAGTCATGCCAGTACAGTAACAATAGCCCAGGGTGGAGTGCACAGCTGAGCTGGAGTCTGCCTGCATGTGCTTTGATTGCTTGAATCATAGACCGAATAGGGAGCCAACCTGAAGAGATTGTATTACTTATTTTACTTTCCAGGTCAGTGTACTGTACTCCAAACCCAAGTGAAATAAAATGGAAAAGAAATATCTCGTTAAATATGTGTATTCATTTGTATTCAGTTGCACTTATGGAATAAAAAAGAGTTTGCAAATCCATTGTGCATTACACCGTTTACCATTAAAAACATGAACGCTATTTACCTGAAACCTTTCCGGCATTTCTGTTTTGAATAGTTCTGCCGTATAAAAACCTGATGAAACACATGTTGAGTCTGTCTGGTCTGTGTCTCCTTTCTTGCTTTCCCTTCTGCTCACTACTGCACCTCATTCCCTCTGCTGTATTGGCATGGACACTGGGTTTCAGGAGGCCTCTGGAGAGGGGGAAAAGCATGGGGGAAACTTGGAACAATACATTGTAGGTAAATAAATGCTCTGTCTGAAAAAGAATGCCTTTTCAAAACACACTCAAGCCCTCTTGGAGAAACATGTGCCCCAAATAATGCTCTAATTACTCCTCTGATAATATGATAATAATGCTTGAATCCTTCTTGAAGTCACTGGGTTCACTGAGCAAACAAGGACCCATACTCGGAGGCTGAGGGAATATCATCTGGGGCCTTGAGGAGATTGCACATGAAGACAATCTGTGTTTGTGAGAGAGAGAGAGAGAGAGAAACGGAGAGACAGAGAGAGAGAAGTAGAGAGACTGTAGATATACAGTATTTTTTTCAGCCCAGATTCCAACTGTTCCACAATGAAATTCAATTTGTGCCACTATAGTTTAGCCTTGGATGTGACCCAAGCAGCTGATTAGAAATAAAATCAGTGTGAAATGCTGTGAAACAGGTGTGAGTTATGACAATCTGATGATATCAATTTTAACACGTCCATAAACCCTGGGATATGATCTCCGTGCTCTGTCCATCAGAATCCTCTGCTCATTATTGGTACCAGATGACTGGATGAGTCAAAAACACTGAGCAGATGTGATGGTGTGAAGCCTCCTCAGTTACTGGTAGTTACCGGTAATCATTTTAAGACATGGGTATCAATATTTACACAAAACCTTACATCTTTTGCACATCAGTGGTTGAAATGAAAACTTTTTAAGCTTTTAGGGTTCATTAAAATGCAACAAAATAATTTTAGTCTAAATTTAGTCCATAAATGCTAATTATCCAAGAATTGAGTGCTGCCAGGCCTTCCATAAAACCAGTCGCTGAACTCTAATTATGTCCATTTTCAAAAGTTACTTTGGAAAGTGATTGAACAAAATCTTGACAGTTGTCAGGGTAGATGGAATTCTTTAAATAATTTGCCATAATCTAAGCTCTCACTCTGAAATCTTACCATCACCATAAACCTCTGTCAAACTAGAGAGAAAAGTGGCTGAATTGCAAGGACGGGAAGAAAGTCTTTGGTCTGCTCCACTCTTGAGTAATATATCACCTCCGCCACAGTCCAGCACCTGAAAACACCATTTCCAAGATTTTTTTTCTTTTTGAGGGGGAGTGGGGGGGATCACCACTTGTCTGCAACAGGAAAAGAGAAGGAAAAACGGATAAAGCAAAGGAAAGGGGGAGAGAAAGGGGCTCCTGCGTCACGTTGCTTTAATTTGTTCGCCAGCTGCCAATGAAAATGATGACCCGAGAAGTTATTTTTTTGTGCCCCCCCCTCCCTCATTTTGGCTCCGCACCTCTGCACTGGAAAACCACACAGCTGGAGCCGCACTTTGAACAAGTGTAATCTCCATGTGAAGAAGTCCCTGATACACTGCTTTTCATTCCTAATAACTACCCCCCCCCCCTCAGAAAACAGTTACTGACTTTTATTATGGCTGATTTAACCTTTATTATCCCAAACGCGTTTCTGTTCATGCGCTGTAACACGAGTCATTCTCCTGCGTCACGTTTCCAGGTCAAACAAACAACAAATTGCGAGGAACGGCACACAGATCATCCATATGATTCTATGTCTCAGGTGACAAGGAGGGGCTGTGCTTCTACCTCTAAATCAGGCGCAGTTCCTACAGTGTCCACTGCAGTATATAAACCCGCAAAAACGCTCCCTTCACCAAGCACTTCTAAGTTTGCAAAGCACAAGAACGCGCTCTCTCAACTTTCTCCGGGGCTTTCGAGTTGACACTGTCCGGTCAGCGCGTGCAGAGGGGAGAGGACGCAACAAGCAGAAACAACAAGCAAACAAAAAACAGGTAGGACATTTTCCCTTACTGTACATTATTGCAAAAACAAACAAACAAACTTAGCTGAAATATCCTTCATTTGTGCGCACCACGGCAATGCTTGAAGTTGTACCTTTTTGGTTTATTTCCAGAAACATCCTCGGGATATTCTGTCTGCAGTTTCCAAAAGCCCAAACATGAGGCCCCAGTTATTCGCCATTGACTTAATACTCGTGTGTATATCTTGCGGAGAAAGTGCACTGGCTTCAATTGCTCGCGCCGACTGCACGTCCCCGCCAGCGGCACACTTCCCCAATTCTGGCGCAGCGCGCAGGAATGGAACAGACGCGGCTCCTCATTCCAAAAGCAGGAAGAAGCGGTATATCAGTCAAAACGATATGCTTGCCATTCTTGATTACCATAACAAAGTAAGGGGAAAGGTCTTCCCCCCAGCTTCAAATATGGAGTACATGGTAAGTGAACGCTTTCATTCAAATGTGACTGCCGGTGCGTAAATGTGGGCAGTCACAGCAGCTGTTGAACAAGTTTATTCTGGCATGGACTAAAAGCACTTCAGAAGCCAAACTACAGTAGCCAGTTAGACATGGGGACAAAGAAACTTGAAACTGTGAAAATGGAAATGTAGCTGTAACAAAAAGTATAATAGAATTAAAAAATGGAAGAAAAAAAATCAGCTGACCACAGGACAACCAACACTACAAAAGGCATCTTAAAAAGTCAAATTAAGTTTTGAATTACTGTCAGCTTTTATAAAGATGCTTAAGTTATGTTTCTTCACCTGATGAAACTGCACTAAGAGTAATAACAATGAAACCATGATTCATTCCCAGAATAACGTCTTGTGCTTTTCTGTTAGTTAACCATCACAAGCATTGTGTTTCTATTGAAGACTTAGTCTACATGTGACATTAGCTTTTCTTACCACTTTGAATGAAATACTCTTTTATCCTTCATATGAGCACCTTGAATAGAATGCATTTACATCTCACTGCTTAATTAAGATGCTTTGCCATCTTTATGTTGGTGTCATAAGGGTTTGTCTGCTTCCTCCTGTTTAGGTGTGGGACGACACATTAGCAAAGACAGCTGAAGACTGGGCTCATGCCTGCCTGTGGGAGCACGGCCCGCCTCACCTTCTCAGGTTTTTGGGTCAAAACCTCTCTGTCAGGACAGGACGGTGAGTGACCTTTCACCCCTTTCCCCTCTCCCCAACATCTGCTGCTCCTCTCAGGGATGACCGTCTCTCAGCAGTAGTGGCTGTTTCCTAGTAGCCCCATTTTTCTCTCTCCTAAAAGTTTCTGCACTGTGACCCAGGGACTGCTTGAGGAATGCTCCTGTGACCCTTTATATAAACAGAAGTTGTGTTGTTGGCCTTGACCCTTGAGGACAAAAGCCTTTCCCTTTAGTGGGTCTTGACTTTCCATTTGGAAATACAGGACACTTTCATGTGTTCCTGAACTTTTACATTTTATTGAGGAACAACACAAGACTCAAGGGGGAAAAGCCGATTCCAACTGCTCCTGTGTGCACACAAACGGGGCTCTACAGTCGGTATTTTCCCACAGACATTTTTTAGAACTGCTTGGTAACAGTTGATTATTTTCTTAATCTTTTGTGTTCTAAAGCACAATTATGATCAATTATGTAAACTTTTCATTGACACTGAGAGGGAGAGGTTTTTAATATCCCAATAAAACAGACTTGGGGCATTTAATTTATTGACTTCAGATTCTTAAATTGGTAATATGCTCAGATAAGCATGACAAATTAAATTGATGTCCTTAACACCAAAGAAAAAAAGTTATCTTCAATCAATGCTGAAAATAAAATGATAATGCATCATTAAGTACATTTTTCAAAAGAAAGAAATTCAGTATCTTGTTATATGAAAAGGATTGGGCAATGTACCAGATAAGGAGGGAAATAAAGGACTAAACCACCTGCAGATAAACATCAAAATTCCATGCAAGAGAAAAACCTAGAAACAGGCTTTCTTCTGACACTGTGGCTCCTCGCTGTGACAAGGCTTCATTATTAGTTTTGGCTTTTAGTAAGCCCTTGGCAAAAATATTGCTAAATCTCGCTAACATCTGGATTTTGAACAACGGGGAAGTTTAACCGGCAGTCAGCCCTGCATCAGATGGACTCTCCAGTGGTCACCAATTTTTAATCAGCTGGAACTGAGATTGCAACAAAGGACACATGCAGATGATGGTTTTCTGTGAGGGTGCTGCACTCAGATGTCCAAGTGGCCACATTTCTCTCAGTGCATCTCCAAATATAACACAACTGCCTATTTATCTTGCCTGTTATGAACAGTGTCAGTCATAGTGGGGGTTTGACCACAGGTGTGTCTAGTTTAACCGCTTAAAGTCTGTGAATGTAAATACATGGGAGGAATCATCTTTCTGAATTTCTCTATATTTCATTCACAGCTATCGTTCCATTCTTCAGCTCGTGAAGCCTTGGTACGATGAGGTGAAAGATTACTCTTTCCCCTACCCCCGTGACTGCAACCCTCGTTGCCCTCTCAGATGCTATGGGCCCATGTGTACCCACTACACACAGGTATGAACGCAGTTGTAGACTATTTCACTGAAAGGTGGGTTTCAGCAGCAGAGAGATCGCATGACAGTTGATGTTTGTGTTTTGCAGATGGTGTGGGCAACATCCAACAAGGTGGGCTGTGCCATTCACACATGCTACAATATGAACGTATGGGGCGCGGTGTGGAAAAGGGCCACGTACTTAGTCTGCAACTACTCACCTAAGTAAGTATGCTTTGTAACCTGTGGGCTGTACTGTGCATACCGTTTCATAACCTGATTAAGTGTTAGTTTCATGCTTTACCATGATGACGGTACCATGACGACAGGCTTAATCCTAAAACGGCCCCTTCTGCTCTGCTGACTTATGAAATGCCACCCATGTCGGTGGAGGATTCAGATAACCCCAATACAAGCTTGTGAACCAGTACTGAATTACCAAAGCAAAGAAAAGAAAAGAAAAAATCTCCAAATGAAATTCATGGCTCAGCCAGACTTGTGAATCACTTGTGACCTTGGCTGCATAATCCCACTGGTTTGAATCATAGTCTTTGTAATAGCGGCAAGCTAAGGACACTAATGACTTCTATGAGACTGTTAACTTGAATTTTCTCGATTTTTAAAACAAGGTGAAGTTCTGTCCTACCTGCTCCCCACTTTGCATAGGTCACTTTTGTCAACGTCTACAAAGGGAAAGTCTGTCTATGATGTCAGCTAGCAAGAATTAAACAAATCAAAGTTATGTAAATGTGCAAGTACAGTTGACCTGGTGGCTTGTTGACACTTATTTAAACTTTTCTCAGAGAGTTCTACAAATGGACCTTGAAATGACTGTTGAAAATGACTCCAAATTAATCCAATTTTTTTGCCAATTTATTTCTGATCTAAACCGCTTGATAAAATATTTGATTTTCATTTGATAGAGGTTCAACACCATGTTAACTTGGTGTAAAATGTACTTTCTTGCAGGGGTAACTGGATCGGAGAGGCTCCCTACAAAGTGGGGGTGCCCTGTTCCGCTTGCCCTCCCAGCTATGGAGGCTCATGCAGCAACAACATGTGCTTCCCAGCCCTCAAGACAAACTACCTGCACTGGTTCAAATAAGCACAGGTTCCCTCTCAACATAAGCTGACAACCTACAGTACCATAGAGACATTATTTTAATTGAGTAAGGATTTGCACAACAGACGTGGACCACACTATTTTGTATATATAGGCTTATTTAAAGAAAAAAACAAATATTTTGAAGGCATTCAGTGATTTGATGATTTGTAAATAGTTTGTAAATTGGTACTTTTTTTTTTACTGGATTGCTATGACTATTTGAAATGATTAAATATATGAAAATATATTTATATGCAAAATGGGTCTTTAACAGTGCATACTCTGGTGCTTTGTACACATTTGTGGTTACTACATTTGCTTACAGTGGACAGTGTGATAATTAAGACACTACAACCATCACAGGACCTGCTCACTTTGGTGCTATGGGCATCACACCTTCATGCTGTGTGCTCTGCCTTCACAAGAATGTTGGGATCAAGCGGGATCAAAAGGATCAAAGATTATAACCTCAGAGGGAAACTTAACACTGGCGGTGTCAGCTTCACTGTTACTTTTATGCCAACAGTGGCTGTCAAACTTCCCACTTAAAGCAGAACTCGATCAACAATAAAAGGCTAATTTCTGTCACAATAAAGAGTAATAAATGGTGGCCCTCGTGCTCCTCATATTTCTACTAATGTGATTGGTAATGCCCAACTTCCTCCAAGTTTTAGCAGTGTACTTTAAAGGCTGAGCTGAAGCACAGCAGAGAGGGAGAAGGAGGGACTTTTGAGACTTTTGCAGTCATTTAAATTTTCAGTCCTTTTGTGAAAGTTGTCAAGTTGTGCTTTAAGTGTCCTTATACAAACACAGAAAACACATTTGAAGGCCTACTGTTAGCACAGACACCTCTGCTGTCAAAGGTTTTTAAACAACAACACAGTGCAATTTCATATCAAACTTGCACTATCTGACTTGAGTATCATACCGACAATTCATCTTTAAGACAATTTGCACACTTTTATCCATATTTCATATGTTTATAATAGGCAGACCACATACACCAAGTCTGACCCACATAATGTAATATACTCACATATGTAAGCATATGTTACAAGTATGTAAGTATATTGGTATATTATGTACCATTATGTATATTAATATTTTCTGTATTATGATATGATCACTGATTTTGGGAATCAGGCACTCAAGTGCACCTTAATTGTTTGTAAATTTCTAAAATACCAGAAATTGTTACTGCTTTTCTGTGTAGATAATCAAACCTTGACTATCCTAAAATAAGTTGTTACTGTAAGTTATTCGTTTTTGTATTGAAAAGCTGTTTAATTGTATGAATTTTCTTGCTGTTTCGCAAAAGAATTGCAGCATATGAAGACTTATTCAACATATCCAAGATAATAAAAACACAAAAGTAGGAAAATAACATTTTAAGCACTGACAGTATTTAAATCAACAAAAAGATATTTATGCAGCAAATTGCATTTTTCTTTTTATTTGTACTTGTAATAAAATGGTCTATTTTGATTGTTATTGTCTCGTCTCTCACCAATTCAGTGTTACTGTCCATTGGCTAGTCTGATTCTTTCTGATGTTGATCAGCATTTTAATTTAAAGGCCATATTCTGGCCATATTGTGCCAAGGAAGGAGAAAAGGCCACTCAGATTGAGAGGTTTAAAAATAGTTGTCTAGTTTTTTATGTCCTCAAATGAAGTGACAACTGGTTTAATGGTTCTTATCGAAGGGTAATATCGTACCAGAGGGAAGAGACAAAGGTCAGGAAACTATGAGGCAAAGGGGAGCAAATGTACATCAGCTCTCAGATTTTCTGCTTTCTATGTAACAAATTTAGCAGACAGTCAGTAGGAAACAGCAGTTGGACATGGGATGCAAACCCATAAACACAATAATGTGCTAAGCAGATGCTGTTCATACTTTCTCATACAAGGTCAGTAAGATAGTGGCTCTGACTAGTCAGCATGAAAACTAGAAAAAAATACACAGGCTATCGAGGAAACATCAGCACACATGGACTACTCAAATTTTACTGGACGCATGCACCAGTTGACCGCAAACAGAACTGCAGTGAACATCTTCCCACATACAGATATACACTTAGATGGTGTCAGAGAATTTTGTTTTCCAGTATACCCGTTCAGACATATTACACCAGTAGGGAGTTTTGAGGAACATATTTGTCAACATGGAGGAAATATGTGTGCCATTGAAAATGCAGGATTTGAAGGTAAACGAAGAATTGCGGCAAGTCATGCTAGATCAATTTGGTTCCATGAGAACGGGAGCGAATAAGGATGTTTTCAGCCTCTGCTTGGTGCATAAAATAAATCCAAGTCAACTTGGTAATGCCATCAGCCAGTGCTAAAATCTACTTGAGCGCGATGACACATGTGTAAGTTCATGTGAAAGTAAACTTCTCTCCCTAATAACACAGGTGAATTACTATCCTGTCAGATTAACTGTTACTGCTGAAACAGTTAAGTCCCCCTTAAGTAAAAAGGCAGTGAAACGTTTATTTGAAAAGAGGAGTGAGATTTCACTGGAACGAAGGCAGGTTGATAGATCACAGTGGGCGAGATTGAGGCACTTTGCTTCCAAATGTCCAAGCTGCTCTCCAACCCCAATAGTACTGAGAAGCAGGACAAAGAGTTTATAACAGCTTGAGTGAGTAAAATAATGAAAAGGAAGGATGAATCTCATGTGTGGACGGAACTTGGTGCAGCTTGGGACTTTTTGTGATGTTAACAGCACAGCTGCACAAAGACTCCCCTTTCTTGTGTCTGTCCTCTCCAAACTCTTTGGCCTCACTGACTTCACAGAATGCTTGAAATTTGGCTTTCCTTTATTCAAGGAGGATACTGGGGGAGATGTCTAATTCGCCGTAGTTGAAAAAAAAATCTTCTTCCCCCCCTTGGAAGCAAAACAACCATGTTTACTTAGCTCTAAAGAATCACAAAAACTTAGCAAAAAAGTAGCCCTAAAATATGTGCAACAAGCACACAAACCTTTCAGTGACATGTATATGGGCTCTTACTTTAAGAGTTTAATGGATTTAGCATCAGACCTACTTCAATAATACATTTGCAAAAAAACAAGCGTATTGCTATCTCTGAGCTTAGTTCAGATGAGAGCCAGCTGACATGTTTCCCAGAGTTTGATGTCAGTCTGGAAGCATGCTTTGGGATCTGCTTGAATGTTGGCATCAACATGTTAAAAACTCTTTTACTGCCATAAATCTCTCAGCAAAGAGTTAACAGCAGGTTTTGCAGCCCTTCTTCCCTTAAGCTGGATGCCCATACTTCAAACAAGGAGGGAAAAATAAAGCTTTTCAGGTACACAGATCATTTGTGGTGTCTCGGACTCTCTGGGGCCTATTTTCATCTACAATACTGTTTATTTTAGATGGAATTGGTATAATATGTGGGGAAATGGGTCATTTCTTAGAGGTTTGTATGGCTGGATTTACATGTACTCCCTTTGCTTGAAACAGAGTGAGCGGTGAGGTTTCTTACAATCAGCCACAACGCAATAAGACACCATTTCAGTCTTGGCCACATAGCCCATGTTATGGTCCCTTTTCTTGTCTAGTGACTTTCCCTTCTAACATGGTCTAGTAAAAGAGAAACAAAGCATATCTGACCCACTTCAGAAAATACAATGCATGTTAGAATAAAGAACATAAGCTGGGGTAATGTTGTATAACTGTATAGTCTATATTCAACATTAAAAGTAATCGCATGTTATTAACTTAATTTGACAGGCTCACAGTTGCTGTGAGAATAAAATAAATCTACAGTATAGCCAATGCTGAGACAAACTAGACGTGACCCCTCTCATTTACACTGAAATCACAAACTGAGGCAAAGGTGGCCCATGTTCAATGTTTGCCATCTCAATCCTTGTGTAGTCTTTGTCTTGGACGAGCTGATGTTAGCCTCCTAGTAGGGACCTCAGACAGGCGACATCCTGCAGCTGCAAGACATTGGCCAAAATCAATGTCCTCTCAGAAGCACAGTGCTGGGAAAGTGCAGCTTAATCAGATATGCTTCTTCCTTTCCTCTCAACTATCTTTTCTACCCATAGCCGACAAGCTCAGAGAGGCATTGATGCTAAAAGCTGACCTATTTGCACTAATTATGTGTTGCAGCTTCAAATAATTCCTTCCAATGGGACGTTGGAAGGAATATTCTCTCTGACCAGAAAGTAAATGGCATTAAAGTAAAGTTTCTTTCCTTATATTAGTTTACGTAGCAATCCAGTCAATTCATTTTAGGATAGCCACAAGTCTGTACTCCCGATTCTTCTACATCGGTTAACCAAAATCTCAGCATCTTTGTTTTTCTTGAGAGGTCAGTCTAATAGTTTGAAAAATGGATGAGCACCTGAAGTTACCCAGAACCACTTCTGTGGTGGAAAAATGGGGAACTTAAAGCATAAAGGTTTTTCATCAGAATCCATTCATATCATTTCTAGCCTGAAATACTATTTGCTAGGAAATACACATGAGCTGGCATGCTGGTTGTAGGTGGTAAATAGTAAATTGTAGTGGTATACGAGAGGATACTGACACCTGGTGGCTGTGGGAAGAGTTCTTACTATCTAGAAGATAACCTAACTCAACAACCTTATGAAGTTGAGTCACAATTAATATAAATTACACAGCAAATGAATCATATGAAACAGATTTATGTTACATGAAAATGCATGACCCTAAAAGTAAATAAATCTTAGATGATTGTGCACAACTTTGTGCATAATGATTCTGGCTATACTGTCTGTTTATATAAAACCCATCTCACAGCAAAATGCTGAAAATTAATCATCATTGTTGTACTTAAACAGATGAGCCACACTTCTCAAGAGGACATTTAAATGACCTTTTGGGCAGTATTTTGTCATTTGAAGGGAATTATTTTTAAAAAAGCAACTTTTTAGAATCACTTTATCAAATGGAGACCAGTTGCTTTCAATTTACTGTGAAGGTATTCTATGTGTTTACATGTTGACATGTTGGGCTCCGCATGATAATGTAAAGTGAAAAGGAAAGAAGGACAATACTGTAAATTTACCTCACAAAAAGTCTAGTATAGACAACAAAAAGAAAGAATATGTGGAACAGCCGGCTATATAAAGGGACTATTCTTTGTATGCATGTAAACTGCCTTTCTTAAAAAAAACAACATCATTTATGCCCCTCAAACCAAATCGGGCTCACATCGTTGATTTTAAAAAAACTTTCACTGCACCTCTTCTCCACAAGGGGGTATTCACGGGCAACCTAAGCTCAGACAGACCTAAGCTGCATATCTGAGGAAGGCTTCTGTTGAACACAGCTGATAATGTCACAAAAGCAATGATGCACTCTACAACATCTGCCAAATGACCTTGGTGCTCTTTGCTCCCATCCTCACCCCAGAGCTGTTCCAACAATTTGACCTCAATCCAGCCCAACCAGAACCATTAGGGAGAAATGTGCCAGATAACACAAGCCAACTAAAAAAGAAAAAAGTGTTTTTCGAGTGTTTGTGTGGTTCGGTGCCGTGTCCAGAGGCTACTGTTGTGTGGATGTGGGGCCTGGCACAGTTTCTGCATTCTGCTGGGTTCATGGGGTTTCTCGCAAGACCACATGCTGAATGGAGGAGGTACAGAACGGAGCGCCTGGGCGCAAGGCTTAACAGTGACTGTGTCAGTAAGATAGAGAGAACAAGCAGAGAATTTGAGAGTGAATGCTGCTATGTGAGACGCAGCCAGGGAAAATGGGAAAGAGCGCGTATGCGTGCACATGTCAGACACTGAAACAAAGCCCGGCGCTGAGTGGTGTGAAAACAACAGATGCAGGAAAGGAAGAAGCAGAGAAAGAAAAATCTCATGCAAACATTCAGGCATGAAATAATTGACATTGCTTTACCACGCTTCGTATGCATGTATTGGCGGATATCGTGACAAGCACTAATCAGAAAATGCCTTCGTTGTTACAGATGTCCTGACCTACAACACAGCACGGTAATCAATACAGATCCGGAGCAGTTGGTAAATATTTCTTTTATGCCCATAATTTCATTTTCATACTTGCAGGCGGAGGCATCCTCCTACATTCGGGCTTTTTGAATTTCACCTCTAAACTTGCTGTAGATCGTAGATCATATCTGAAGCTCAACAAATGAGTATGAAATAATTGCATGTTTTATGCATCGACTCATGCTGTGTTTCTATGTGACCTCTCTCTCTCTCTCTCTCTTACAGCAAAACCAAGAAAAGAAAGCCCACATGCAGTCCCCTTCAGACTGTCTCACACGCATATTTTCCCTAAATGTAGTTTTGTCATAGTTCTATAGCAGATGAATGAATGCATTTGGTGTTGATTTCCTCTTGAGAGTTGTGAGCAAAGGGAGAGTGTGTTGCTATTTCAGCTGCGGTGAAAGAGACAGGGGGGGGTGGGGGAGGGGGGGGGGGGGGGGGGGGGGGGGGGGGGTCTGCCGGGCCAGACCACAGAGAGCGGGCCACTGCTGGGACCGTGGTTAAGGCCCCTGCTACTGACCCAAAGAGCAGACAGTAAACCCTGGGTTTATGGACATTCTGAATGCGGTGGGTCCCCAGTGTGAAAGCTCTTGTTCTAGATTTAAGAAGTAGGTAGCGTGACCCTGGAAAATGGTCTTTCATTTGAATAGTCTTTAGATACAGCGACCCAATTAATCAGCTGCAAGGAAACCAGAGGAATTTCCAAAAAAACATATTATAAAAAAGTTTCAAGGATGCTGCTTTATAGTTTTACTTTATAACCTTTTGGTGGATATACACATTTTTTTTATTTTACATAAAAGAAAGTAGTGTTTTATCTAACATCAGACCAGCATAATTTTATTTTCTGGCATGATAAAAAGTTAAATTGTCTAACTAAACATCTCAATTTCAGTTAAATTAGGCAAAATGAATATCACTGTGATCAAACTTCCAACTTGACCAGGTCCAACAACAGCAATATTCCAAACAATTGAAATGTATTGTATGTTGCACTATTAAACTGATGGCTAATACAGATGATGCACCCAGTAAAGCCCATTGATGATACATATAATTGCCTAAACAAGAGTAAAAGCCTTTTCTAGATTATGCCTTTGGTGCAGGTACTGTTAGGGAGTTTTAGGCAAATGAAACAAAAACTAAAGAAAGCTTGAAATGATACGATGACTAAATGAGTAATGGAAACAATAGAAAGTTTGACTAGTGTTTGTTTTGTTGTGCCTGTAAGAAATAGAACTGGAAAACTGTTTCCCCTACTTTGGAAGGGATACAGACACATGGAGCCTTGTGCTATGCTGATGTTTCCACCTGTGCCAGAGCAGCTGGTGAAAATGACCAGATGACAAAAGGCAAAACCTGCCCGTTTCCATCATGGAATTCAGTGTGTTACAGTGGAGAGGGGAAACAGTGACGAAGGGTTCAAGTCTTGGAGTTAACAGAGCTGGTTTGTGTTTTTCTTGCCCCATATGGAGTTTTCTGTAAACAGACTACCAGGGGCAACTTTTACTACCAGGTCACACAATTGGACAAAGTTTTTATTACAAGTTTAAGGGTCCACGTTTAGAGAAGCTCTTAATGCTTGGATTAAGGCAAAACAATGAAAATAAAAAGTAAAGATGAAAGCCTAATATGACTCCAGAGGTAGATAGGTGGGAAATAAAGAAATAATTAAACTACACAAACGGGCATAACATAAAATATTTTTAACGTGAGGCTGTACTGCACTTTTGCTTGAAATTTTACGGTGACTTGCCTTACGGGAAACCTTTAAACTTAACGTGCACTCTCACGGGCACGCCTTCCACGGGAGGACTTTCTGCAACCTATGCGGGGGGCGTGGCCAGGGGCGGACCTCTGCAGGAGCGAGCAAGTTGAGGATAAAATGTGGATAGGTGACTCTTTAGCGGCTTTTGTACAAAAATCCCGAAAGAAGAGAGACCGGCTTCTCTTTGAAACACTTGTAGAAAGCGAACGAGGCGAGCTTGTGACACTTTGGGTTTATGAGAGGAGGCTCCCGGCGTCCGTCATCCCCACTGCACCTGAGCTGTGAAGCCTCCAGAGAGGATTTCTGATTCTTCTGGCCGCTGAAGTTATCACAGTCAAATATTTATCAGGATCTCCAGATTTGGGCTCTTCTCCGGTTCATAAAAAAAAGGTAAACCATTCCCACCGCCTACATTAGACAACATTCCGACTGTGTTTGAATATGCACAACTCTCCACATTTTCCATTAGACAGTGGCTCCTTATATTAGACTCTGCCTGCTCTCCAGTTTACAAAGTTAAAGGTTCAGATATTAAAATGTGTACATACAGCTTTGGAAATACAAGGGCACAATTTTTCCAATAACGTCATGCAAATCTCAGCTACAGATGCAGTATTTATTTTGAAGTGTCCCTTCCACCCTAACCCTTCCATTATTCATTTAAGAGAAAAGTTGTTTGATTTCTGTAATCCAGTTTTTCTCAGGCTGCTAGTTTGCCCTTAGTGAACCTTATGAACTTAAAAATGGCACTGCACCAGACCAAGTATCTGCAAGCCAAGGCACTGTTCTTACCAAGTGCAATATTGACAGAGGGTTTTCAGTAAATCTGATAGAGCACTAATTCAAAGCCCTCCAATGTTTGTTTTCTCTTTTCTTCTTGGTTCGCCGTCACTTCACACCGTACACGAAGAATAGAAAACTCTCTTCCTCCCAACTCATCCCACTGAAGTTTTCGACGATAACCGGCATCGCCAGGATTTCCAAGGATGTGGCGAGTATCCCGGCACTGGCTGAGGGGCGTGTCCCTGTTCCTGATGCTGCGCTCCACCATATCCATGGTGATGCTCAACAACTCCACGGGCTTGAGGCAGATACTTGACAAGTATCTGGATGAGGATGGGGACTGGTGGCAGGCCAAGCAGAGGGGGAAGAGAGCCATTACAGACAGTGACGCTCAGCTGATCCTAGACCTCCACAACAAGCTCAGAGGCCAGGTTTACCCCCCCGCTTCCAACATGGAGTACATGGTAGGTGGATGGAGGATGCCTACGAGACATTTCCGTGATCTCTGAGAGATTTCTGTGAAGGAATGCTCTTACTATTAATTTAAAAAATACAATTAAAGAAATCCTCTTACAATTGATGAACCTGAATGTGAACTCCTTAAGAGCCTTACACATTTGTGTGCCATATAGCTTAGCGTGGTGACCCAGTCACCAGACCACCTGGCACCTGTCCCGATTGGCTCCCACGTGCAGCGTGCCAGCCTCTAAACACACACACATGAACCGTTTGCGCACATACACACACAACTTTGTACCCTTGTGACTTGGGTTGTTTTGCCAGAAGAGAAGAATTCAACCAACTTGCCAATGATTACATTTCTACAACATACTTTTTTTTTGCACGCTGAGAGATTTGTTTGACTTTATTCTTTGGCCATCTTATGCATGTGCAGCTCCAGATCACTTTTCACAGTGCAATTAGAATCAAGAGTGCAGGACCAGGGCTTGTTTTACCAGCTGGCTGACCCCCCGCTAAAAGTACGTACATACACACACACACACAAGGGGTCCACACCTTCCAAAAGCCAAAAGTTAGCGCTCTGCAGATCTGGAACTTTTCCAAATACACTACATGTGTTGGCACAGCAGTGCATGACCTCCGATAGTGCTACACAGGTTAAAAATCAATACTACGTGCAGGAGGTAATGAGGCTTTATCACCCTTTCATCTTCACACCAACAGAACAAAAGGCAGTATTATTCTCTGGTCAAGGCAAATAAACAGTTCCTGCTGGGGGCAGTTGCTGGACTGTGTAATTGTATAATTGAGAGGTAGGGCTCGAGGACCCCTTAAGTGTGTGTCTGTATGCATGTATTGTGCACAGGGTTCTGGTTGAGGCACACACATGTGGAAAAATGCTGAGCTAGTGGCACGCAGCTCTTTTGTGCTGTCTCCTGTTACAGTTGGCTATTTTTTTAAGCTCCAGGGGCACCCAGGGGTGAAATATGGAGAGGCATGCAACAAGAGGACGTGAAGTGAGAGAAAGGGAGCGAAAGTTAACTGGGAAAGCAAGGTAAATAGTAGAAGCTGAAGTGTGAAAAGATAGAAAAGATTTGAGAAAAAGGGGCTGCTCATGGAAGGAGGAAAAAAGAGAAAGGTGTCAAAATAAGTGAAGTTTACTGGGAGTGATTCAAGAGGAAATGGGAAAAGGCATATGCTTGGTGGGGGCTCAGTGAAAGGACATCTTTATTTTCAGTTTTGTAGATGTCAATATTTGAGACAGTTTCACAGGTCACATGCAAAGTGCATATTCACTTTTTTTTCTTTTTTTTTAAACTTCAGGCTCCACATTTCTCAGTGTTTCCTCCTGTCCGTGTTGAACTGCTGCCACCTTTCAGAAGCCTCACAGCTCCAGTCTGCTGGAAGACTTCACAGACATGCTCGCCTGCACCCAAGACGCACACTCATGCATGCAGATGCACTCGCGCAAATCCTCAAGCACATACGAAACCGTTTGGCCATCCGCTTTGTCATCATCTGCCGTTGTATTAAATCACAACCCCAGTGACCCCTCTGTGGCAATCATCACAAAGACAAGGAGATAGCATCAGTTCAAACCCTCCCCCTTTTTCCTCCCCTTCATCTGCTTCCCTCTCTCTGCCTCCCTCTCCCTTATCCCCGTGGCTCCGTTCCCATTCTGTCATTATCCAACACATAGGCCCAAAAAATTCCCTGGATAAGCATTCACACTCAGCAGCGATCCACAAAGCCTTAGTGTGGCTTCAGTAGAGGGACAGCAATTCTGCCTCTCACCCATATGTTGACCCACAGGTATAAACAGATCAGTGTCAGCGTTTGAAGCCCTGTGAGACAAATAGATGGCATCTTGGGGGAAAAAAAGGGTCCCACCTGTCTTGATATTTAACTTGGCTTTGAGGGGCTCTTCTCAAGTCTGAGATCGCGATGATATTGGTGCCTTATGATAAACCTCTGCTGATATTTTTCTGTCCCGGATGAATCAATGCCAACATGCAGCCTTTGAGCATTTTAATATACTGCTGAATAATGCTGCTCGTGTGAGTAAGACTAAGCCCAGTATTTAAGGTCTAGGCCAATAAGTATGTGGACAAGCACGTGAAGCATTTTTTTTTACTCAGAGGAGTTGGTTATGGGCAAAACTTCCCCATAAAAGGGAGCTGACTGGAGATCCAAAACAGGTGATTATAGCACATCCACCTCTGCAAATCTCGTGTAGCATGATCACAAATGATACAATAAAGGTCTGCATACTTTGGTTAGTCTACATCGTTGGCTTTAAAAGCATCACAACAGTCATTCTAACAGTTGGACCATTTCTAAATTCAAACTAAGTTCACGTATTTTTACACAAATGTCACACTAATGTGTGTGCGGGGACTAGCCCGGCTATGTCAATGTGTCACTCGTTTCTTTTGAGTGCAGCTCAAGACAGGTTTAGTGCATGTTAGGTCTGATTCTGGTAGATTGTTGCACCCAACATCACCATGGTAACTTGGTTGTTCATTTGGTCAACAGCACCTTCTCTCACCTATGTTCTGTTTACACACTGCTGCATCTTTAACTTTACACTCTGCATGATACTTCAGAAAACCTACTGTAAGTCATACAGTAAACATTTGTTACCCTCTCTGAATTATTTTCCCAAATAACTTTTGAAAATCAAGCATCTATTGAAGCCTCAAAAATCTTTTAGCCTTCACCTTTACTGCTTGTTTCTTCTCTTTGTGAGAAAGAGGATTCCAAAACACAATGATATGAAATGCTGAACTTGTGAACATTGCTCACTCTCCTTCTACTCTCCCCTCCAAGTTTTCTTCCTACAATAAAGTATCATAATCATTAAATTTAGCAGATGCAGAACAAAAATGACTGCAGTCATCGGTGGTAGTACAGAGGGATCCATCAGTGTGGATCCTTTGTCTTCCTTTAAAGAATGGGCCATCATAACTTTATGTTACAGCTCTGCCATCTCGCAAATGGAAATTTCCTTTCGGTTCAGGGTTTCGTCCAACTTTTTTATCTTCTGGACAATGTCATGAGCTGCGGCCAACAATTTATTGCTCAGCTCAGTGCAGTCTGGATAGAAGTTTTTCTTCCATTTCTAACCCATCAGCCTGTTCAAAAACTCCAGGGCTACTCACAAGACATCCTTTGTAGCCTATCTTCACTTGCGTGACACACAAGTTTTCATTATTGCCGTACCTGATAGGCTAATGCAGTTATTGCTTAGAGCAAAATAAGCATCAGCCTGATCCCACCATTTCAGGCTCTCTTTTTAATGTCTCATACCTGAGATAGCTTCTACATTATTTTGTGGAGAGTAAAGGGATGATGGTTTTACTCACTTTATCCCTGATCTACAGTAATAGCTTTTTTCGCTGTGGTAAAACTCTGTGCCTGTTTTGATATTGTAATATGGGTAGAATAATTCCCTTAGCGGTCAGGTCAAAAGTTTTTGTGTGTTGGCCGATGTGGGTTAGAATGATATGCAGAAAAAACTGAGGGGCAGTTTATACTGAGATTAAAAATGTTACTATTTACAGGCAAACTGACATCCAAACAATAATTACCTTCCTTTCCTTTGTTTTTCCACCTTTCCCTTTTGTTAAGCTTTATTGGATTAAGTTGCCCATTTGCATCCACGTTTTTTCTATCTGGATCAGCTCCTCTGCTTTTTCTTAGTTTTACTTTCCCAATTCCCATATCCTTCCCATAGCTGCGACTCAGTATCCCTCTACATGCATCATTGATTATGAGCAGGAAACCCATACTTGCAAAGGAAGTATCCCTCTGTAACCGTGGAATGCAACCAGATGAACAAGAGAGAAAAAAAAAATCCAGACAGCAAATGAAGTGTTAAGCGAAATAAACAATGCCGTTTGCACAGTGCTGAGAGACTTTAGCAAGGGAGGTGTTTTTCTTTACCGGCCCTGCAGAAGTGGGGTCAGAGTGGGCGGAGGGTGGGGTGGTTCGCGGTTACGAGGCCTCCCCTGCTGGGGGAACTGTGCAAACAACAGCAGCTTGACAAGCTGCCTGTACTCTGTACAGCCGAAAATTACAGCACATGTCCTGGCGGACAGGCCCTGAGCCTGCTTCCTCTGCAGCTCTTCAGGACTGTTAAGTCACTGGGCTTGCAGATGCCGCTTGTAATTCTAATGATTTACAACACTTTTAGCGGCCTATCAGAGATCACGTCTCTTTGATTCGAACAACAAACAATCTTCTGAGGAGCCTCAGCCAGTTGGGTTCATTTTTACTTGAAATCTTGAGTCTTTTAGCCTTCCGAGTTGACAGCTTTCACACTGACAACCGAGTGACGAAAACATACTTAATGACAAGTGCTTCAGCTGATCCAGTCTGCACTCCCAAGATTTCTTTTTATTATTGTGAACACTGGTTCAATTTCGAGTGATGGGACCTCAGCTTGACAACGTCTAAGGGGGAAAATGTCAGAAGAATTGCATTTCCAGAAATGGAAACTCATTGGATTTTTATATTTTTCACAATCCAGTTAACATTTTCTTATTTGTTATTTCAAGAGGAACTATTGGCAAATCTGACGTTTGCATCAGTTTATTGCCATTATGTCTTATCCAAGTAAGACAAAAATATTCAATATTGCTTCAACCTGTGCTACGTCACTCATACTCTGTACAACCCAAATAATAGATACACACAGATATCCCAGGATGGATGTGTAAGGGGACCATTTATTTTTTTTCCATATACCAATTATGTAGCATTCCACAATGTTTGGTGTTAGAATTTGACATTGTACATGATGTCTGGCATCTGGTCTTGTTGGTTTAAATAAATGTGTCTTCTAACAGATAGTTTTGCCAAAAGCGGCTAAATACTCTACTGAGTTGAGACATCCTGCTTTTTAGGCTGAAAGTGGGTGACGGCCGACTGAGGAGAAGGTGGGAGAGGAAGCGGGGGGGGGGTGACTTTGGTGATGAGAGTTTCTTCTGAGTCAGCTGAAAAGCAGGGCCCAGAATGTGAGATGTGAAAACTTCTGACACCTCTCACTATTGTATTACTGCCATTTACACACACGCTAATTGATTTTCCTGAAGAAAGCCGTTAGTCATCCCACGCTTAAGGTGCATGAAAAGGTGTGCAATTAAAGGCGCATACAGTGTCCTTCAGAGAAATCACAGCTGTGTTATTGCAGGACCTTTTTATAGCACAATGTAGGACATTTTACATTTAGCTAAAGCCTCCGTACAGAAACATGAATTCTTAGTATCCAACTTGAATGAGAGAACAAGCCTGAGCAGTAAAATGAAGGAAAAGCATGTACCTAGTCATTTAGAATATATGGAGGTCATTCCTGTAGAGGAAAAAAACACTTTAAATGACCCCCTATGTCAAGAGATTCCTCATCTAAGACATGAGCTGGATACAAAGTAAAAAACATACTTAAAATTAGCTTCTCATTATCCCTCCCTTATTAGAAGCTCTCTAAACCTATCCTGCTTTTTGACTTTGGGTTGCCTCTAACAGCGCTTTATCACTTTGTATCACAGACAACCTAGAAAGCTAATATTCCGTTTTATTTTTCCTCACCTCTTTGGGTAGGTGTGGGACACAGAGTTGGAACGTACAGCTGAAGAATGGGCAGAGACCTGCCTGTGGGAGCATGGCCCCGCCGGCTTGCTGCCACAGATCGGCCAGAACCTTGGCGCACACTGGGGAAGGTAAATAATCTATCAGAAAAGACACTGTATGCATGTGGACACTCATCCTGTCAAACATTTTTGTTCACAGCTCGTTTTTCTCAAACGTTTTTTTTTTTTTTAACCTTTTCATGATTCAGATTTAATTCAAGCAACTCAAACAGTTTATAGACCAAAAGAAAATGCATACCACATGATTTAGAGAGATTTACTTTAGAATGATATTTGTCTAATAACTTCACCCATGCTTCGCAGTGACATTTTCACACTGAGGGTATGTTGAAAATGATTACTTTTGCTTGAGAAATTACTGTGAATGCAAATATTAGACGACACTCTGTAGCTTTTGTCTGCTGAAAGTAAGAATCTGAAAGACAATAAACCTAATCTGCTGGATATAAGGCAAATAGATCTACTGTACAGACCTGACATACTGTTGTTTTTGCTAGCACATTTCTTCATACATCCACTGTGAAGCTCCTGAACATTTCCTCCATTAAGAAACTTTTCCTCCATCTGATCATTTCACATCCGGAGTCAATATATTTGATTGATTGTAATTAGATTAACCAGGAACAGCTGGTGACAGATCAGGTTACTGAGCATTTTTGACAGAAGCATTGACTTGATGCTAAATGCAGTTGGCATATTTGTTGCTTGGAAAAGTAGGGATAACAAATGGATGGATGGACATTTGTTGTATAGTTGAGTGCATAGCAGATTATTGTCTACATTACATAAGCAGCAGGGAAAAATATCCAGGTTCACAGATTTAATTAATGACTCAACTGAAGTACAATTTAGAGATACCTAAATTGTATCTTAGAACAAAAATTTTGAAATCTTTAATTCTAAAACTCAGGAAAGGTAGCTGAATGAAAAGTTAATGCCAACAAAGAAATGTTTTTTGTCATGTGTACGCTTGCTGATCTCCGTAGGTACCGTCCACCTACGTTCCATGTGCAGGCCTGGTATGATGAAGTTAAAGACTACTCGTTCCCCTACCCTCAGGAGTGTAACCCCTACTGTCTATTCAGATGCTCCGGCCCAGTTTGTACACATTACACACAGGTGCCTACTGTACGGCTGGATTGTACATTTTGAAGAATTGTTTGCACCTTGTGTTTATTTATCTCCTCCTGTGTGCCATTGCTCTTCTACAGCTGGTTTGGGCCACCAGCAGCCGGATTGGCTGTGCCATCAACTTGTGTTACAACATGAATGTATGGGGACAGATTTGGGCCAAAGCTGTATACCTGGTTTGCAACTATTCACCAAAGTAAGCACTTCTGTTGTATATCAGGTCAATGATTTATAAGTTAGAGAATTAAATGTGACTTTGTGTGATTTATATAAGTAGTGTATGCCCAGCAAATGTGGTTTGTCCTGTCGCCTGAACAGGGGAAACTGGTGGGGTCACGCACCTTACAAACATGGGACTCCATGCTCTGCATGTCCCCCGAGCTATGGAGGAGGCTGCAAGGACAACCTCTGCTACAAAGGTAATCATGAGCCACACAGACAGAGGGAGTCTGTAGAAACTACTGCTCATCAGTCCCTGTTTTTGTTCCATTGGCTGAAGATGACAGATCCAACGTTCTGCAAGAGGAAACAGAAGAAAATAACTTTATTGAGCCAGCGCCCCCTCGTTCCACAAAACCTCGGCCTCGGGCCTCCAAACCTGCACCTTCCAGCCTCCCGTCCCCCACCAAGCCCCCCACAGAGGACCTGGAGAAGAATGAAGTGGTCAACACACAGCAGATGTGTAAGCTGCTATTTTAACTGTTTATTCTGGATCTAGTTTCGTCTCAAATTGGGGGGAGTTTAGGATATGGTTTTAGGGGTGGGTTCAGTACAATGTGTACCATAAAGGATTGGGTCAGAACAAAAAAAAAGGAAAAAGAAAAAAAATGCTGCTTGTTCAGAGTTAAGCAAGCTACAACAGATAACTCAAAGAAAATAGACGCTGACCGGAACTTTTCTTAAATTGCCTAGATGTTCTGTAGCCTTTATCTGTCATCTTCCTGATCAACTCTGACAGTTTCCGAATTTTACTTAATGTTGCAAGTCACTGTTTAGGGTAAAGAGGGGTGCTCTTGTTTTAGCTTGATCCCTTGAGTGTGTGTTTGTTTTTAGCTGGCTGAGGAGAGTTGGGGGGGGGGCGGATGGTTGAGAGGGGTTTGCTGTGGTTTTTAAATTGCTTCCTCTCTGCAGCACAAGTGGCCTGTGCTTGCAAGCTGACACGCTTCCCCTACTATTGCTGACCACCCTGAACATAGCTGCAGAAATTCTTGTCTTTGGTTCTGGAAGCGTTGCAACAACGTCTCCCCTGGGTTTCCCTCAACTCTGGCTTTTCCAAGCCATTCATCTGAATCAGAACTTCCAGCTCATACATGGGGTTTCCTGTACAGGCACTCACCCAAAGGCCTCTGTGTTTGTGTGTTTCAGCTCAGCTAGTGACCTGTGACACTAAGCTCCGGGATCTTTGTAAAGGGACACCATGTAATAGGTACCATGAAGATGAAACTATGAAACAGAAGAATAAACACAATGAAAAATATTTACTCCTTTTTCATGCGCTTATTGTTTTTTTCATTGATTGACAGGTATGAGTGTCCGGCCGGATGCTTGGGCGCTATTGGAAAAGTAGTTGGGACCGTATACTATGAAATGGTAGGTTCCTGAGTAGATAAAGTAATCTATTGAAAGAATTTGCTGTTTAAAGATTGCAATATTTATGGGTAAAGAGGAGCTCGCCAAAGACAGGAAATATTAATGCAAACACACAATGATATGCAAATTTATGTGTATTGCTCGTTGTGAAACAACATAAAAAAAGGAATGATAGATCTTCCGGTTGACATCTGTCTCCAAATTTTGTACACTGAAGATTCCTCCATGTCAATTATAGATTAAACTAAATATTGTAAAGAGACTGTCTCCTCAACTCCCGACATGTTTTAAGTCAGGCTACTTTACAGCTGATATTGTTGTGCACTCTTAGCTTAGCATAATCCAAATGATGTTCTGTATTACTACAGCAGTCATGATTAATACAGTATAACAGCCACAGCATGTATATAACCACTGTGCCAGCAAAATGCAAATGACACTGTCAACGGAATGTATTTTTTGCAGCAATCAAGTATATGCAGAGCCGGTCTGCACGCTGGTGTCATAGATAACGATGGAGGATGGATGGATGTAACAAGACAAGGCAGAAAGGACTTTTTCATCAAATCCAGCAAGAATGGCGTGCAGTCATTGGGGTGAGAGAGCAATTTTAGAAACATGAATTTATGTGGGACTAAATACATCTGCTAGTCGTAGAATGCAAATTAAATGAATGAAAGTAGTAAATTCTTCCGCTGTTTATGTTTCCTCTTCACAGAAAATATCAAAGTGCTAATTCCTTCACAGTTTCCAGAGTGGCAGGTTAGTTTGATTTACGCAAAATATTTAACAGATAATTACTGATTACTGAAACTACGAAGTTTGCAAAAGCGCTCGTGGACATTCATTGCTTTTCTTTGTCAGTTAAAGCCATCACGTGTGGCGATAGGGTTGCACAGCTGTGTCCATATGAAAAGCCTTCAAGACACTGTCCAAGGTATGAAGCCTGATCTGTTTATCTGACCCATTTAGTGTAATACTCTTTCATTTTTCTCCATCTACAATCTACACATTCATGTCAAATTATCATCTTTTTTAGGTTTTACTGTCCAGCAAACTGTTTAGGGGAGAATCCTCACATTGCCAGGGTAATTGGAACAAGAATATACTCTGATGTGAGTCTGTGTTTTCTAACCTGGTTGTCTTAAACTCCCATTTTGTAATCAATAGAGGGAGACGTATTTAATCTTTCCTCCTGCACACTCCTGTAGAGGTCCAGCATATGCCGAGCAGCAGTCCACGCTGGAGTCATCAAGAATGATGTGGGAGGTTACATTGATGTGATGCCAATGGACAAGCGGAGACACTACCCTGCTTCATACCAAAATGGCATTTTCTCAGAGAGGTATGGCGGGACTAATCTTGATGTATGAGGTTCTGCAACAAGGAAACGTTTGGGGGAAAGATTTTTAGAAATAATTATCCAGCAAAAATGTCAATTCATATGGAAAATGAAGCTTCCTCTGTAACATCATTGAAACACACAGGAGGCAGATATTTCATTAATCTTCTCATGCCGCAAGCCTGGGAGGGTATATAGCTTGCCTCTACTTTAAAATAATGAATTGCTGTGTAATTAATGTTTAGAAGATGACAGAATCTTACATGGCTCCAGGAACAGTTTGTCTTTTCTTTTGGTCGTGAGTCAGAAAGGACATCCATAAGACAGATCTAAAGCCAAATATAACGGTTCAGACAAAGAGAAAAACAAGGATGCAAAGCAATGAGAAAGAACGCTGAGGAAACAGACTGGCATTAATCAGGACAGAGATCAATGTTCTGTGAAATTCTCAACAGTTTTAGCCCAGTCAGGACCGTGAAGTGGGTGAGCTGATGAGGCAGAGGAAAGCAAAAACAAAGAGCTAATAACTTTTATTGTATTGCATTTGTTAATCCAATGTATAGTTATTTGAAACGTCTAAATAATTGATCTCAGGCAGGTTGCAGCACTGTGATTATCGGAAGCAGAACTGCGTTGCCATTGTTGGCGATATCGAGCAGTGTGAAATTCACCTTAACCCACACTGCTTTTGAGTGTGTACTTATAGTGAAAGAGGGTTCTCTTCCCCTTCTGTTATCTACTTGTTACCAACAAAGACCTTTGAGCAAACAACTCCCAGCCTGAAAAGTGCCATTTTTTAATTAAGATTTGGATTGTGCTCTGAAGGGGAGCCAGAGAATGGCTGTAAAAATCCTCAAAGAAAATAACAGCTTTAGGGGGTGTTCTTAGCAAGAGCACAAATCAGGCATCTTCAACTTGGTGACATTTGAGAATTAAATAATTTTAAAAAAGGAAGGCACATCTCTTTCTTATTTCTGTCTATACTTGTATTTGACTTATGTACCAATAATGAGTACCAAAATAATTTCCTAGCACTTTGAGGGCAAGAAACTTGTGCCGAAAACATTATTTGTAACACATTTCCTGCAATATGAACGGCCAGTGATGTCTCTATTAGCCCCGTCCAGAAAAAAAAAGCTAAAAGATTTTATCTATACAAAATGCCTAGATGACTATTGGGATGATGAAATGCAATTCAAAACAATAGAAATGTAGCTGATATGTTAAGAGTTGTTAACTCAAAATAATTTCTGACTAGCTGCGTCTGAGTCAGCATCTTAAGGTGACCCACACAATGACCCATGAACATCTTCAGTTATTGCTTGCTGTGAGTCATTCTGCTTCCCGTCCTCTTGAAAGAGAAATGTGACTCTTTCAGGTTGAAATCAGGTGAATGGATCACCACAGGAGAACATCACCATAGGAGAACCCGTTTTTTTGTTTATTCTAACCAATGCCCCTTTAGCATGGAGTGCCATCCAGCAAACTGTGCTACATTTGGCTGAACCTGAACGGACAGCATCTCCCTTGACACCTCAGAATTTATGCGGTTGCATCTGTGTTCTGTCACATTATCAATAAACACTAGTGACCCAGTGCCATCACACTGCCTCCAGATGTTTCACAGATGATGTTTTATGCTTCAGATCACACGCTCCTCCTAAGTCTTTTTCTCTTATCTTGCTCAGGGCGATCTTAGTTTCCTGGTCCAAATTGTGTGTTTTTATTCTTGAGGGAGATAGTTTGAGCCTCTCAAGCTTGTTGTGAAACCTGCTCTTGAAGTGTCTTCATTGTAAATCCAGACAATGATGTGTCTACTTCCTGGACACTTATTTCCCTCCCAAGACTTTCAGACCCAGCTTCCAAGTTTCAGATGCAAATGCTACCCTTCTAATCAACTCCAGGCTTTTTCACTGTTTAATTCATTAAGAGACAATTAAGTTCAAATCCTACAAGGCACAGACAGTCCTCATTTAAAGCCCATATTCCTGCTGTGACTGTACCCTGAATGAATTGGTAAGCTGAAATTGGAAAATAATGGCTTTGTCTGAATATCAAGTTATTTATAGAACTTCCTCTGCACAGAATGTAACACATCCATCTTCACAGACAGTTACTTTATAGAGGGCAGCCAGTCTGTGCTTAAAAATGTTTTACATGCAGTGAAAGACGGCACTGGACACAAGATAAAGCATCCAACTAGGAAATAACGTGTTTGCAAATGGCATACTTTGTCTTCAACATCCGTGTGCATTCTTGCCTACAAAAACCCTGTTTCTTTATCTTTTCTTTATGTATTGTATGAAAAGAGGGGCTGAGAATAAACTAATAAACTCGGTGCCATGTGCTAACACACAGGAGGAAAGAAGAGACGTCATTGGTTTGTACGGCCACTGTAGGAATGTTAAGGAGCTTAGGCTAGGCTCACCCAATTCACATTTGTGCAATGTAGAATGTCCCCCTTGTCCAAGTCAAGTGCAGCGAGCAGGTGTGTTCTACTAAATTTAACTTGAATGCTTGTCTCTGATATCAAAGGGGAGGTGCTTTTATAAAGTCTCTGAGTCTTGTTGCTGAGGTGAATAAAGTAATAGAGGGTGGTGCAGCATGTACCACCTTCTGTAAGCATTAAGGTCACAGTTCCATACCGGCCTCTCCTTAAAGGTAAAACTGACCTACATGCTGTATAGAATGCTCCAGTTTTCAAGAGATATTGCATTACACCTGCTTTGGATTGTTTTGTGGTCTATTCTTAACACGACCAATGCCAAGAGTGGACTTGACAACCATTTCATTCATTCAGTGGCACACTGACTCTTTATGCATCTTGTTTTATCCATCTCCATTTGTCTTTGCCACTCTACTGAGATGTTTGATGGATCCCCATCACTTATCTGGCGTCTTTGACCTCACTGTATGTCTGTCTCGGAAGCATTAGTGCATAAATGTCCCCATGTTTGCGTGAAAATATGTTATTTTTTTCCTGACAGACCTTCACTCTCGATCTGTTCCTTTCCCATCAGTCATTGGGGTGTCAGCCGAACACAGTCCATCTGTTTGCATGCATCAGTCACCTACATCTCTTTCTAAAAGGCCTGGGACATGTTCTGTTTCTGCGGCACCTGGGCTTAATACCCCGTTGTCTCTCTTCTCTGCAGCCTTCAAAACCCCCCCGGAGGGAAGGCGTTCCGGGTCTTTGCTGTCATTTGAGCACACCGGCGGGTGGTTTCAACAGAAAACGAAGCACACTTGAGGCTGTTGAATAGGCTGTAATCAAGCCCCGTTGTCAAACTTGGTGACTGAAATGTCTCTACTACAATTTAGAGGTTACATGTCGTCACCACGGCAGCATAAACCCAACAACAAAATCATATGCAATGAGAACCTGCCTGTCCTCTCCCTGGAGGAATGTTTCTTTCAGCTTTTGTGGGATATTCCACAAACTGTAATTATTTCCTGTTGAGTTGCTGTACATATTTGTTAATAGGTTTTCTGTTCTGTTTGTGTTTTTTTTACCTTTGTGCCATTGTCTTGCCTTTTAAACTAATATCTTTGTATGAATATTGATTATAGGAATCCTACATTATAAGTGCACTTAAAAATTAATATCATTATATTTTATAAAGTCTGGCACATTCCCATTGGTGCTGTGGAAAGGCTTTTTGCCATATTTTGTACTTTTTGTAATGACGGAAGAAAAACATATTACATTTATTTTTGTATGATTATACTTTATGTCAGTATGTATTGTAATTGGGTGCTGCTATATATATTATGTGTTGTAATTTCCTTACTGATGGGTTTTGTTTTCTATTTTCCAAAATAATGTGGTTGAGCTTAAACTCCCTGCTGGTCAGGAAGTACACTCACCCATCAGAGAGGTCATTCCCTAAACAAAACCTTTGCATTTAATTTCACAGGATGTCGCTATTCCAAAGATATATTCAGATTATTATTTTTCTTTTATCTGGGTAAACAGAAGTGTGAGCAACTGTGTACTTTGTTCCAAAGGTAAAGCAACTACCAGACTTTGTTGAAAACACAGATGTTATGATGGGAAGTTAACTGTATTGTTACATCACATTATATTATGACCTTCATTTTCCTACTTTGGGTTGTAAAGAAAGATCCTCTGTACAATAAAAGAAGACAGATCATACCATTTTAAGTGAATCAGTGTCTAATCATTTACTGTTACTGAAGTGGCTCAAAATTATATCCTGGTAAACATTCTTTTAAATTCCTTAAAAATGTTACTTTTTTTAGAAGTGACCCTCCTGGAATGGGGTACCTGCACATTTTCGCCTGGCAGTATATTAATGTCTGTGATTAAATGTATATAGCTTTGCAGATATGCACTTCTTGTATGTATGTAGTCTGTTATGTGGAAGCAGCATAAAGAATATTATAATACATCACCTAAACACATCATGGTTAGATTAAACTTGATCACTTGACTTATGATTGGCTGGACGACAGGCTCCATAGAGATTGATAGGTGGCCCATGTCTATCCAGACCCTGTCAATGAAAAGGGAGACATACATCAAACAGGTGTCAAAATTCCCCGCAGGGTGCAGTGATAGGTGGTGTTCAGAGGCTCTGCAAAATGAGGACTTAAAGATAGCACGATGGAAAAGTCAAGGGACAAAAGAAAGGGCAAATATAATTTTTTGAAGGTTAGCGGAGAAAAAAAGCATATGGTTTTGGTGTACTAATCGCTTTAAGAGATGGATGTTGGGTGCCCTATGTTCAGTTTTCCCATGTTTTTCCAAAGTTCTGCAGTTCAAAAAACACTGTTTTTCAAAGGGTGAAGAGGATCCTTTTTGTGCACCTTTAAATAATCAAAGAAAAATGTGCAAAGAACTAACTGATAGATTATTATATCCTTTGACAAGCAACCCACCAAGACTGTTCATTGTGCCCACTAGACAGACAAGGTTGCATTAGGAGGAAAACTGACAGAGCGAAATCCATGGACCCATTAGAAACAAGAAGACTGATTGCTGTGAAGACAGATGGGATGAAAGACAAGCTTGCAGCTAGCAGGGTCTGCATGGTGCCACCAGTGTTTTCAGACTGTCGTTTAAAATAAGGAAGGTCATTAATAACCTCCTCACTGTGTTCTGCTCGACTGCAGGCTGGCGCTTCTTGCAGAGCTAAATGTGGCGATACATGGCAGCGGACTGGCAGGCTGTGTCAAAGGGACCATACTGAATATACCTGAGGACAGGGAGAGACGAGGCGAGAGGCGAGCACACAGAGTTAGGATGTGCATGTGCATATATTTGTGTGCGCCATGTATTTATTTTTAATTGATTTATTTATTTATTTTACTTTCTTGCCTGTTTATTTACTGGGTCTGCGCTGTCTGGACCAGTATAGTTGGATGAGAATCAGATAGCTGTGATGCAGTCAGAGAGGCTGTCAGCACTGAGTTTAAAAATGATGGTTGCCAGTAGTACTGACTGTGTTCCTTCTTGTCAAACCTTTACCTTGGCGAATGAACAAAACACAACATTTGACAGAGCGTATTTTTTTCTTTCAGCCTTATGATCCAAAAATATTTCATGTACGTAGCCACACTGTGAATGAGTTTTTGCAAAGACGGAGTGGGTACTTAGGTGCAGAAAAAAATAAGCTTTTCCTGAGTGGCAAGGTGACTCATATAATTACTGAGTTATTTTAGGCCTGTATGCTTTTAAAACAAACCTCTGACGAATCTTAGAGGCTTGATTTACAACAACCATTCATTACAACTCATACTTTGGAACCAACCCACCCAACTTGACTAAAATTGTGAATCATGTAGCATATATTCAATTTGCTGTCACAGTCTAATCACAAGATACTCAAACTGATGCTTTAAATGTGTCAGTCAGAAATAGTTAGTTGGCCATGTTTTGAAGCGCGGTCACCTGAAACTAGTGGTTACGGCCTTCTGCTGGATATCTGTAACGTGAGCCATAGTGGTGTTTGCTCAATCCAAGAACAAAAAATGATGCTATTTTCTGGGTGCAGTAGTTACAGCAGCTTTACAACGGCAACAAATAAGACTTGGCACATTCGTTTGCTAACTAAGGGCTGCTTTAATGGAGCAAGTGCCCATAATGTGTTTGCACTCAACAAGAATAAAAGAGACACTGAACAAGAAAATTACCCTTTCTTTAACAGAGATTTCTAAAATACTGTGAGCTGTTGCACTATTACCAAGGATTGAAAGACAAAATAAATATAGGCAAAAAACACAAATAATAATATTTTGCATTTATAATTGATGACATTTACATGATGCTGCTGCTCTGTCTTGTACACTGGCACCTCTATGTGTTCACAGTGATTAAATACATTCATCTTGCTTCTGTCATGACTAGGCTGTAGGTATATTTTTCAAATGCCTCATTGCCAGAGGAGAAGAAAAGCCTGCACATAACAAGATTTATTGTCAACAATTTGCACAAGCACAACACCAATACTGACATTTGTTCCTGTATAAAAAGGTGTCAGTCAAGCTGTTTTATGCTCTGAATGCAGATGTGGGCCACATGTAGAAGTCTTTCTAAAACAAGCAGTGTGGAGAGTTGTGCTTACAGTACCTCTCCAGGAGGGACTGGCCGCCTCCCAGACTGCACTGCTGTTAGATCTGCTCCCTACAAATAAATAAAGACAAGTCTGCATCAGATCTGGGTATTTAGAAAGAAAATTTGATATTAATCTGCTGCCATTGAGAGTCTGAAAAAGTCAGTAAACTATCTTTCGAGATATTTCAGAGAAACTATATTTCACTCCCTTTCACAGAGGGTGTCGTTTCACTAGCGTGTATATGCAGTTGTCCTGTTTGGCCTCCAGATGCAGGTCAACTGAGATGGCACAAATAATAAACAACAATTACTTTACAGTTCAGGAATGTGGCATAAATCTTTACACACCACGCCAGTGAGGACAGAGGAAGTAGATTTAGTTTCAAAGAGCCATGCCTATCTTAGGCTCAATCTAACAATTTGGGAGGAAGCAAATGCTTGAATAATGAACAAGATAAATACATTTTGAGAAGGAGCAGGAAAAAGGGCAGGAGATGCCTGCCAATGCAAAGCTGTGAAAGGCGACAGGCAGCCCAGTTGAGGGTCACGGCCAAACGACTGGGCCATGTCTGGCAGATGGGCACACACACTATTTTGCAGTCAGTCATAATACAAGAAGAAGAAAGCGGGAATTACTTGAGCAAAAAGCCTGTAGGGCTCAAGGGTGGTGGGAGAAGAGTTCAGCATGAAAGGCAAAAAACAGCCCATTGCAAACTATATCTGAAGGAATCCCAAAATAGGTTTGTTTTGAAGCTTTTTTTGCAAGTCAGTGAAACTTTCTCTTTTTGTGCTTGTCCCATGGCACAGGAGACAGGCTTATGAGCAGTGGACAAACAGAGCTCTGTGACAGAAGCACCCCTCTGTATTTACACTGGGATCATGGTCGAGGTGCACAGAGTGCAAAACATAAAGAGCAGCGACCAATCGGGCGCTGATGATGGGCCGCAAAATCATGGACGGAACTGTTCAAGGGCTCTGACGTGACTGCTGACCTTTCATGTATTTACAGAGGAGGTTAGATTTCCACTCATTTTCCATGCTCACATTCGAGTCATTGTGGAGTCAGCCCAGGAGGTAAAAGAGTAGCTTTGTCTCAACCTGGATGGTAGACCCTGGAGTCATCTGCTCCTGCCAATACCCGAGAAGTTCCCACAAGCCATGGCAATTGAGAAAAGCACAAGAGCTACCTGTTTTTGATTAAATCCCTCAGATTAAATACAGAAGTCAATAACCTGCAGTGCCTGAGGGGCAGTTTGAGCCAACTGGAGTGTCTCTGCAATGAGGGCGGAAACTACAATAATTCATAATAAATTCAGAAATATATAAAAGAGTTCATAAATAAGGTTAAAGTCCAACATGCTACATTAATCATACTCGTATCAAAAGAGGTAGAACAAACAATGACAGAGAATAAAGTGTCTGTTTGAGTAAAAAAACTCAAGCTTTAATAAATGTGTTGGACCTGTAACTGACTGGTTGACACTTTCATGTAACCTACAACCTAAATGATAAACAACACAGCCTGCACTGTGTATTCATCACCTCAAGAAACTATTGCAGAAGAGATATCTCATCATCATTCAGAAGAAAAAAGTAACAAATGTCGCTTCAAAGTACTCTTTGCACAGCAGACAATATTGCCCTCTACAGGGCATACACATTAGTCACGCTTGTCTGTGTCCAATTCTTTTTTGTTTTTGTTTTGTTTGATTAATTTTGAAGGGAGATGATGAGATAAAAATGCTTAGCAACCCATTATCTAACGGTTACACAATCCCACAATCCCGGTTCACGGGAACCTAAGGTTTTTGGCCCAAACTCTATTGAATTCACCATTTGTCCTGCTGGAGTGTCCTCTGCCAAAATATCCCGGCTTCCGCAATGTCAGGTGCTAAATCATTGACCCTGACCTCTGAAAAGTCAAAGAAAAGTCACACAATCACACGGAGTTGATAAATCCGGGCTCCCAGTTTCTAAATTAAAGAGCGATGTCTACACACAAAAAATAAAAGAATAAGAAAATGTAAAAAAGGCTTTTTAGCACGATAGCATCTATTTTCTTTTTTTCATCTTCCACGAAGAGCCGAGTTTGATGAGCTGTGGATTCAGCATCCCCCTGGTTGTTTTCACTCAGAAAACACCACAGCAGCAGAACAGATCATTCTCCAGAGATCCAGCCTGGGGTTCAGCTTCACTTTGACACAAGATGGACCTCAATTTAGGACACAAAGACTGGGTCAAAACAGCAGGGGGTATAGCTATTCTTTCCCCGGGAGTGATCCGCATTTCCCTCCCTCTCCTGTTCCTATTTTTGTAGTTTTCCCTTAGCTTTTCCATCATTTGTCTCCATTTTTTTGCCCACCTCTTTTCTTCACCAACATCTCTGTTTTCTTGCCATTCACCTTTTGTTGGTATAGAGACAATTAAAGTCAAATGTGAGCTGTAAAACTTGTAAACCTGACCTTCTGTGAGATTGGCTGTAAACTTTTTTTAAAAACTAGGTAAATTGAAGAGCAGAATAGCCCGAATACTTAACTTAATGAATAAAAACAATCTCAGTCTAAACAGGTTGAACTGGAAATGAAAGGCCTATCTGGTAAATAATTTCAACAAATGAATTTGCTGCCGCAGACACGCTTCTGCTAATGAAATCTTATCCTCATTCCTTTTTTTAGGTTAATCTGGTAATGTGAGGAACCCTTATAAGAGGCTTACACACTCTGCTCATACACTGACTGATTTGAAGAACACTCCTGATTCGCCCACTCTCATGACTCACCTTCTATAGAAGGACAGAGAGGCCCTCTAACCACTTCCACCTCTAAGTGTTATGGAGTAAATCACAAACATGTCATGGCCTGATCCTCTGGGAGTATACACAACCTTTGCTGTCTTATACTGTGTATCTAACCAATATCCTCCTTCTTGCATGGATAAGGACCCACTGAGCACAGAACCACCTACATCACTTATTCTGAGAAACTTGTTTTTTTATTTTATTTCTATACCCAAGCTTTTTTCCTCCAGGCATCGACATTTAATCAAACCCAAATCCCATTGTGACTATTAACATATCAGGCTGATACGAGCTGCTGTAAAAAGCTCGAGTACAGGAACCCGGAGCAGAGCATTACCATAATGTGTGATCTCTATTTTCTCTCCTCCGCCTACATGTAAAAGTGCTTACCTGGCAAACAGCTCGCCACAGAGAGGCATATCTTTCCTGCACTCCATCTCTTCTTCTCTCCGATAATCTTTATAGAAAGCCTTAATTATTTAGCTGTTTGTGCTTATGAGCCAAAGACTGTTGACACGAACTATACATTTAACATTTCACCAGACCATTAAAATCATCCTTGGACTTGATGGTGATTAAGTAAACAATTCAGATTTTAGTTGTTTTTTTTCCCGTGGTGCACCTTGTTTTTATTTGTGACATCGCTTCTCTGACAGAAGCCACCATGTATTAATCATCATAGACATGAAGGGGGGACTGATACGTGAGGTGATTATGAGGTCAGTGGTTGATAAGTTGCCATAATGGAGGAGAGTTGTTTCCTACCGCTCAGCAGATATTGGCTGCTTTACTCCTGCCCTTGGTGAAGGTCTTTCTGCTCTTGAGCGAGCCTCAACACATCTGACCCCGCTGGCAGCCGCTCATGTATGTCAGGGCCATATGCTGGTCGGCATGGCAGCATACACGCGGGGCGAGCAACCTCTCTACCTGGGACCAACTAAAGGGGACCAGAAAGGGTTGTTAGTCCTGTACCACGGCAGGCAATTACTTCCCCTAAAACTAGGACAGTTCTCGGTAATGACAGCCACCAGAGTACGATGTTTAGCGCAATGAAAAAGGAATTGTTGCTGTCAGTGTTGTTTTCTTTGAGAGAGGATGACAAGGCGGGAGCGATGGAACAGGGCCACGTTGTATAAAGAGGATTATGAAGACAAAACAACTTTGACAAGTCTGAAATTTGAGGACACATCCAGGGAGATGTGTAGAGTATCAAAGTCAAGATGTTCGTTGGAGGGGCTTGTTCGGCGCGCCCTTGTGAATGTGATGAACGCAAAAGAAAATACAGAGAATGAGTTTCACCTCCGGACTAAAAAAGCAGACTCTTGACAGAATAGCACTTCTCAAAGTGGCAGCTGTCAACACCGTGCTGAACAAAGCCTCCTCTCGGCAGTGGGCATTTCACTCACTTCAAACACACAGAAAAAAGAATGACTATAAGGAATAGGATAATTGTGTGGATGTCAGATAGACAGGCTGAGTGGCGACATTTGTTTCTCCAATTATAAAATCTTTCAGTTGGAATGAAAAGACTTTGATCCTTAATTATACAGTTATATACTGCAAATAGCTTTGATAACTCTGTTGCATAAGCCACCTCTCCACTCTTTGAGTAGTCCTTCCTATCAATGCACCTCCTTTGTAATGCCAAGAATTTCAATCTCTGTGATTGCACCACCTGAGCTATGCCTCTAACTACATCCCGATCAGGATTATATCTTTGGCAGGGATCATATTTTTCCTCTGCACTTTGTTTTCCATGCTTTATGATTGCCAATTTGTAGCGTTGTGTTTACTATAGACAAACTGAAGGCGGTGGTTGAGTGCTTTGTATATTCTGGTTGGCTTACACTTCCTTTGTTGATCCTTTAATAGGACACTGGTTTTATCATTCATTGTATGAAACAACATAAATTGAGGGCCACCTGCTAATGACAAAGCACAGTGCTATTACAGTGGCCCGCTCAAATTTTATTCCCTTATTTATTGTCTGGTGAGAAATATGGAGATGATATTCACGCTAGGACAAGTAGCAACCAAAAGGCAAGACTCAAAGTGTGTTTAAAATCATTCTCAACACTAACCTCTGTTGAATTTCTGCATATTTTCCTAGTATATCTTATCAAGATGGGGAAAAAAGGTATGGAATCATTGTAAAAGCTTTTTCACAAAAACCTTTTCCCCCAAAACAATCAGTCCTGTTGGACAAATAGAGAGCTGTGAACATTTCAGCATTTAAGATACAACTTGACATGAAAATGTTCCCAGCGAAATGTAAGATAGCTGGCTTTTAATGCTAGATATATTCAGGGAGATTTACCCCGCAAAATGTTTACTTAATCGTCAAAGACAAATTAGAACATTTTTAAGATGTCCTGAGCAAATTTAAAAGCATGATTGGCAGCACAGGCTATTGTTGACACCAGGCACTGGTAAACATGCCACTTCTTGGGAATTAGCCACAGAATAAAAGGCAACATCGACCACAACAGCAAAATGTTCACAGAAATATGACAATCTTTTTTTGCTATTAACCTCATGCAACAGTAAACTTACAGTCGTCCTTCAAGCCAGTCTCACCGAATCTAAGCCTTTTGCAGGGGAATGGGTGGAATAATCTCAAACAGGAACTAACACATTCAAAGCACTTACAAACTCTCATATCTGCCAAAGGGTGTTTAAGTCCTGATTATGCTGGGTGCTTTGAATTATTTTCCTTTTCTGGTATTTTCAAAAAAAACTTATGAAATATAGAAATGAAAAAGTAATAAAACTTAAAATATTCAAGATATGCTTCATCTTTAACTCAAGGCTTTGAAAATCAGGTCATCTTTTAGTCACTTAACTATTCACTTAACTCCTCATAATATAATTATTAGCACATAAGATGATGAAAAAGCTGCAAATTTTCACATCAAAAAGCCAAAGGCTTCAACGAGGCCCACATGGGAAATGGTTGAAATCATTAATCGGTTATCCAAGATGGTCTGTTACTTCAGTAACCTATTAGTCAATGAATGTTTGCAAAACAACAACAAAAATACATTTTGGTCCTTGATAGTGCTATCAAAGAAAACTAAAAGACATGTTATTGGACTATCTAAGCCAAGAAACTTCTTCGAAGTAATTAAAATTAGTTTACATAAAAACATAAGCTACGCACTGGAGAAATTCTGGAGAAACAATTCAAGAATGACAGTGTAAAGCATCAGGCCACCAATAGGATGAATGCAGACTAATCCAATAATCAGTGCGCAGCTCTCTGGGGAAATCGATTTTTTTTTTCCAACAGTGGGAAGAGAGACGAATAGTTTAAAAAAAAAAACCTTGGGTAGGAGGCTGAATGAGGGAAAAAAAGAGAGAAAAAAACACCTTGTCCTCAGCAGATATCCCCCACCCCCTCGCTGCTCCGGGGATGGTGTGGTCCAGGAAGCGCGCCGCTGGTCTCCTCTCCTCTCCGGCTGAAGGGACTCAGCTGACGAATGGTATCTCCCTCCTCTCCCGGATGGATCGCGCCACTGAACCCGGCCAGCCTGAGCGCTAGCCGACACCGGAGCAGGTTGCCCGCAGCTTCTTCTCCTCCCGCCCCATGTCAAACGGACCAAGTCTCTAGTAAACGTTCTCGCACCTGAAATAAAAGAGACCACTTTTGTTTGTATATATATATTTTTTTACTTATTGTTTTACCTTCTGTCGGACAGGAAGCCCCTCACCATGGCTTCCAACTTCAACGACATAGTGAAGCAGGGGTACGTGAGGATACGGAGTAAGAAACTGGGGGTGAGTACTGTTGCACTTGCTGTCTCGCGGAGGACGATAAACGGGAGGGGGTAGCGGAGGAGGGGGGGGGAGAGGAGCTCCAGTTGCTGGAAGTCAAGGGCAGCTTGGTTAAGAAAGAGGCTTTAATGACTCCGTAGGCAGCAGTCCCGTTGTGACCCTTACCGGAGCTAAACAGATCAGAGCCGCACGCGCAGCGGGCAACTTAGTCTCGCGCCGCCTTTGGGTTCGTGCAGATGTTGGGGAAGTCTGGATGATTGACAGCTGGTGTCGCGCGCAGGTGGTTGTACCGCACAACCTCCTCTTGATTCCACTTCCAGCCGCTTGTAACTTTATTTTCTCTGAGAAAGTTGGACTTTAACCTACTTCCTTCGCAAAGGAGTGAAGCATGCACAGCATGTTTAGGCTATGCCGTAAAATAGACAGCAAAATGACAACAGTAGCAATTCTTATGCCCTGTTTTGAAAAGTCCCACAGATTCAGTTTGATGGCAGCTTCTTTGTGCCTCGACAATGGATTTGCACTGAGATGCAGGAGGTAGAAAAAAATCTTTGACTGCTTAGATTTAAATGAATGATACATATTCAGTCATGAGCGCCCTATTGTCTGACTCATAAAGCCATCTGCTTTTGTTCATACTTCCAGCTCATTACGCTAACAGAGCGGTCACACTCCCCCTCCTCTGATGAAGTGTGATGATGGGGGCTAATGGTGTCTGCCTCCTCACATCATCACCTGGGCTTCATCAACACTATGCTGCTGTCTTACAGCTCTTGAGGATATCTTCGATTACTCACTGAGAATGATCATTGTCGGGGGAGAGAAAAAGTCACGTCTGTGAGGGTCCTGAACCACACAATGAAACAATTGACAGCACAAGACATCTCTCGGTGTGAACGTACTAATAAGCTTGCTCATACCCAGCTGAGTCAGTTTGTTTGCTTTCTGCATATGCTGTTGGAAAACGGGGCTCGGCTGTGACTTTCTGAAGCGAGCGAGGAGTGCACGCTGTGGTGGCTCTGATGTAGGTATAGATGCCATACCGCTGCCAGCTCTGCATCTCATCCCGCTGTGTGCATGCAGGAAAAAAGAAAGAAAAAAACTGTTTGTGTCCCGATCGCCCACTCCCTCAGCCCTCCACCGCTCGCTGCTGTTTCATCATAGAAAAGTCATGCTGAGATAGCCTCACAGGACCCCAGTGTGGGCAGCCTGAAAGGATTTATGTACACACGTGAGGTCAGTTACACCAGGACGGCTCTCTTTTTGAATCAGACAGAATCAGAGAAATAGCTAAACTAAGCAGGATTAGGCATCTGTGTGTCTAAATCAACAGGCAGGCTCTGATACATCTGCTTTTTCTCCTTCTTTTTATGGAAGAAAACTACCATAATGTGAAGTGATTAGACAGATACATAAACATGTGGGTTGATGGCAAATATACTAGTGGGGGGGGGGGGTTCACAGCTGGCAAGAAGAAAAATCACACATTTTGTTGCTAATTTGCAACACAAATCCAAACATCTCGTTTTTTCCACGCTGTTGATTATTTAAAAGCTCAGTGGTGCATATAACTTTAAAATTAAGCTCAACGCATCATGTTCCTCACAGAAATTCAGTCAAGAAGGGGACATTTTTCTCATTCCTCTTAAAACAAAGCTTTGCTTGATTAAAAAAAACTCTGAGAAAGTAAGCGTTTGTTTTTGTTAGCATTCATATATTTTTTCAGATGACTATACTGGCATCACTGGATAACAAGATTTCCTAAACATTGTACACATTGTGTTTTGTTTTCAAACAACTTTTCCCTCATTTTCTCAAAGCAATGATTTCTCACACCCTGTCCCACCGATAAGAACTCGTGTGCTTTTGAAGTTTTGGTCTTCAGTAACACCGTTAGGGAGATTTAGTAGAATCTGTTGTGGTGTTTTTCTTTGTATTGTCACTCAAAAGAATAAAATCTTCCCACTTTGGATAAATGTCGTCTGGAATATTCATTAAGTTCTCACCTCACAGTGATGCCTCGAGTGTAAACACTCTTCATTAACTAAAATAGAACATCTCTCTGTGAGCACATATTCATATGAAAACAGGTAACTTAAGAAGTCAGATCTCAGAGATAGACAGAAATATAAACATCCGACATAAATCCATTTAAAGCTAATAATTGGCAGCGCTTGACATATTACAGTACGGGAAGCTACACTATTAAGTCAACCACAGGGTGGATTTAGAGAAAACGTCTTCAGCTAAGACATTCTAAACACCACCAGCGTGTTAATGAGACACCACCCAATGTAAGAAAAAGGCTGGTCCTGGTTTTTAGAGACTGCTCCTTGTGAAAGTTACAGCTTCAGTGGCTGCTTGCGGTGGGATTTCATGTGATGTAATGCGCCACCACAAACAGGAAAGCCTTTTCACGCGGGGTGTTCTAACGTGTGGCACTAAAACTGTGGTTTCTATGATGAGTGTGTGGTTTGGCTCACATTGGAAAGACAGCCGGACTCTTAAGCTCATAGCATTTTCTCTGTTATTGAATTAGAAAGCTGGTCAGGCTTTCAAGGTGCGCCGACTCGATGTTGCAGTTATTGTCAGATGTTTACGTTTGAACTGTCAGATTGAATTTGTGTTTGTCTTGTATTATTTTGCCTTGCTGCTGCATTAACTTTCGCATTTTAGCTTTTTATGGGAGTCCACTACCCTGGCCTGATGCCGTCAAAAGTCAAAGTCAAAGCCAAGCTGTAAGCATAAAATCAGAGGACTTAATGTAACTGTAAGACTCTCTGCTGTGAAAAAAGAAAACCTGAAACTGGCTAAAGAGGAGATATGTCAAACAATTCAATAAAAACAAATAAAAAAGTTTAACATAAGCTTGTTGACAAACCAAATTTTAAACTCTGTGTTGCAGATAGATTTTTGCCTATTTTTGCTTACCATGTGTGTTGAAATGCTGCTCTGAGGCAGACATGTCCATAGTCTTTTTTCCCCCCAGTGTGATGGCTATTTGATATGTTTTTGTAAGGATTTAAAGGTCTTTGAAATACCACATATCAAGACGTTGGATCTGGGTTGACCTTCTAATGCTCCCACGTTGGTTTTCTATTGTAATGCTGTGCCATTTAAAATGAATTATACATAATTTTTATTAAAATACGGTACAGTTGAATGGTTCTCTGTATGCAATATGTATTAAAGTGGCCACAGCTATATGAACAGCTTTGGCTGAACTCATCAGCATCACTCACTGTGATTGGCTCATTTCCAAACCCCTTCATGTGTGAAGGTTGAGGCTATGAGGTCAGTTCTGTGTTTGCAGTTATCAAATCCCCTACTGAGGCACTTTTCTTACCTTTATTTTTGTGTTCTGGAGATTTTGTTTTATTTGGCACTTTAACGACTGCCAGCGTTTTCCTTCTTTAGCCCACTTCTTTGTTTCTGGGGAAACAGTGGTGCTACACTTTGTGGATGCACAGAGGGTATTTTTCCTTTCTCATATTCCCCTCCTCTTCCTCACCTCTATTCTGTCACCTCCCCTCCATCTCACCTGTAATCCCAACACGTAACAGTGTCACTCTCATCTCCCCTCCACTCTTATCTCTCTTCTTCTTTCTTCTCCTTTATCTGGATATCTACCTCACCTTATCCCCCTTTCTTCCTCACCTTTCTCCCCTTCACTGGTCTGTAGACAGCTGTGGGACTGAGCACAAAAGCATCCTATTCATCACCCCAATACTGCACCTTCCATAACCCCAAAAGGCTATTCTCCCTGACACGGCGCGCACACACAAATTGGCTCCATGCAATGCCGAAGGACTGGCGCACACATCACACAAACACCGAACAATCAAGCAAACAATCTCCTGCCTAGAGTAACAGTGTGGGAATTGTCAATTAATTTGAACCCTGTTGCTTTGTCCCACTCTGATTTTTTTTCTTTCTTCACATGAAGACAAAGTAAATGCTTACAAAAGCCAAAAACGAGTGAATTGTCTCCGAGCGGAGATGAATGAAATGGGAGCGTCTTAGAGACAGCAGTAGTGATATTGCCGTCATCGATGCAGGCTCTTTGTTTCCTTTCTGCAAAACCGGCTGATGCTATCAGAGGGATGGACTCCCCTTGAAAGGCTGAAAAACATGACCTTTGAGGAATTTGTGTGCCAGTCTCAGTCCAGTTACATGTTTCCCAGCCAAGGATCACTGTCGTAAACAGAAAAGGTCAGCCGGTGAATATTTTTCTTCCCGTCCGTCAAGAATTTCCTCAACGCTTACCAAAACTAGTCTTTTTAAGTTTCCTGTGGGTTTAGGTTTGTGTGCCATTTTCTCTATTTGTGTTCATGTTTTGACACCTTAAACGAGTTGGAGATGGGCTGCTGGCTCACAGTTGGGCGTACACTGTTTTAAGGGGACACAGAGCACTTCACACATAGACTTCACACGTCTTGTTAAAATTATACTTCTCACCTATGTACCTGTAGAATAATATTGTGAACAAATATATACACAAAACTTAGCAGTAGAGCAACTTTAATATTTATTTACCAGCGGGAGTTTAATTTGGATTTGTCATGTGGGGGTCCTCAGTGGTGTCAGTTGCCAGGGTGTGTTCGCAACAGTGACAAACTTAATATCTGAAATAAAATCTCTAGTAACGTTTGACAGACTTCATATAATCTGCACAAACAACCACCATTTGAAGCTAAAAGAATCAGTCTTTTTTTTAATCACAAGAAAATCACATTTGATATTTTCTATATTTTCAAGTGCAAATTTAAAAATGTTATTCATTGCATTCTTTTTATTTTCATTTAGATTGTTTACCATATTGGGATTGTGCAAAACAGATTGATGGAGTTTGAAAGTTTCCTCCTTGTGCCAGCCAGCATCAGCATTTACATTTGTTGACATTCCCGTGGAAGGGGGTGTGAGGAACAAGATAAATGGTGGGCTCACAGGCTATATAGGGAGAGGGACAGCAAAAAAACACAAAAAAATCCTCAAATAAAATA